GGGGGCCTGGACTCCTGGGTCTGAGGGGGGAGGGGCTGGGTCCTGGACCCCTGGGTCTGAGGGCCCACACTACAAAGCCAGATTCCCTAGTCATGCCCTCTCTCGCCCCACATCTCCCTGGCAGGAATCCAAGCGCTTCGTGCAGTGGCAGTCATCTATCTGAGCCCTTCCTCCATGCCAGACTGGAGCCTGTTCCCCATCTCCGGTGAGCATCTAGAGTGACACCCCAGCTCCCAAAGCCAGCCTCTGCCCTCCCTCCTTCCCTCCCTGTGGGCTCCGGGGTGGCCCTTCTGCCTGCATCTGGTCCGATCTTTGTCTCTCTCTGCAGTTCCTTCCCCAGCTGCCGGAGAAGACCCCACTAACCCAGCCTCACTGGGCTCCTACCACTAACAATGCCCTGGCTACGGACACCTTAAACAGGACTGCCTTCCCGCCTGCCCTGCCCCCTCTATGTGTCCTTAGCCCTGGAAGTAAGCCGAGGGGGTAGGCCAGGGCCCTGAGCTGGCCGGGGAGCGGGCAGACAGCCAGACCCACAGCCTCTCAGCCCTGAAGGGATGTGAGTGCCCCCGCCCTACCACACCCCAGTGGGCTTAGGGCCCCTGATCTCCACTTGCGGCACCAACTTGGGAAAGGGTTGATTTGAAATAAAAGGGACGACTTTATTTTACAAGCAGCTGGGTCCTTTTTTCTCCCCTCCGCCAATCTGGCCTTGTGGTTGGGGAGTGGAGATTCTCTTCACCTCTGCTCTCGCCCTGCCTCCTGGCCGCCAGGTGTTTCTCTCCTGTCCAGGCTCTGCAGCAGTTCCAAAGGGATTGTTCTTTAAAAAAAAAAAATCCCCCCCACCCCTGATCTAAAAGCAGCACACATGTCCCAACGCAGGAGGAGACGCATATCCCTGGAACAGAAGAGACAGCCTAGAAATAGATCTCCGTGTGTGTGTACATATGACAGAAGACAGATTTCAAGTCAGGGTGAAAAGGACTGGTTTCGAAGGAATGCTGACATGATTAGCTCTCCAGCTGGAAGAAAACAGTCTACATACAATATGGGTGGAAAACCTAAATGTAGACAAGGGCCAGGAGTATTTCAAGGGAAAAGAGGAGACTTTTGTATATTGTATATCTCGGTTGGAGGGGGAGGATTTTCAGCAAGGTATCCTAAAGACGGAAAGGGAGAGATAACTTATTTGACAACTTGTGGAGTGAAAAAAATACCGTAAAGTCAAGAGGCAAATTGACAGTCTGGGGAAAACAGTTTGTTTTTCTAACAACACACATGGCAAAGAAATAGATAATTCTTAACATATACGTATAATCTGCAAAGCTTCTACAGACCATGAAAAAGATGACCCAACTTGAAAATAAGCAACTAAGATGAACATTCAGTGAAGTGAAAATCCCAATGCCAGTGAACAGACTAAAGGGCATTCAAACTCTAATAATTAGGAAGTGCACCGTGAAACAAGCAGAAACTTTGTTTTCACCACCCAGTGAAAAAGAATTATTATGAAATTAAAATGATAAGATTATCATAAAAGGAAAGGAGGGCTCACGTCCCATGCTGGGAAGGATGTGTCGGAACGGCTCATGCACCACTCCTGAGGCTCTGAGCTGCAGTCCAATGAAAAAAATAGTCTGCTCACATGTGATAGACCCTTTGACCCGACAGTCCTACTTTTGGGAATCAACTTATGGAAATAAAGTAGAGACACGTAAGGATATATTTTAGGCGCCATTTGCTGCAACGATACTTCGATCAGCTAAACTCTGGAAACTAAAGTCCATAGAAAGAGGACGAGCCCAGTAAACCGCTGTACATCAGGGGTCTCGGAACGTGACAGCTCTCGGCTGGGTTTGGAATCTTGGGAGAAAGCCTGAGAGGAGAGATTTGAGGTGGGAGTGACAGACAATGGCTGCAGAGTGGGCAAACGCAGAGCAGGATCCCTGTGGTTAAGAGCCCAGGCCTGCTCTCGACCACCAGGTGGATGTGGGTCGTCACTCGACTAGCTGGACCTCAGCTGTGTCATCCATCAGAAGGGTGTCAAAGACAGCTCCCCAGTCCCTCCTCAGCAATTCCAAAATCCAAAGGGCTCTGTTAGACCAAAAGTCTTCCCTGAACTCACTGGGCAGCAAAGCCCAGCCTGGCACGAGGTTACTTACAGACCATTTCCCTGCCTGGTGTGAATGTCCATCTATTTCTCTACAGAAACACTGACGGGGTTACTTCCAAGTGCTGGGCAGGGTACTGAGGGTACCGTGTCCTCTGTGGAATACACACCATGTTCTCTCTTGAAAGTCTGAAAAATCCTGAATCCCCAAACACGTAAACAGCCCCAAGGGTTTCAGGTCAGGGCTTGTTGGCCCAGAGTGCCGGATGTCAGGTGTCCAGCGGGGGCCTGCCATAGGGGATAGCTCCAAGCTTGCTAATCATTTCCGTCTTGTACACCGAAAGGAATGTTCAAGGAAGCCTTCGATGTGTGGGCCTGAAGCTGGGAGAGAGAAATGGATCACAGTTTCCAGAGAGGGACACGGGGGGCCACCCTCATGGACTCACTAATTCTCATGACTGGGTGAGCTGTCTGGCCCTGGGGTTGGCCCATCTGCACTTCTAGCCGCTTTGCTCTCAAATACTGCCCTCTAGTGACTCTGAGTCTGTGTCTGGAAGCTGGTGTAGGATGCTCAAAAGTACCCTGAGATTCAGGCTGCCTGATTTCCTGCCAAGGGGCCTGGGAGTGATCTTTAATCAGGAAGCCCTAACCAAGAAATAAAAAACCATTTTGGCCTAACCTTTACAAAAGGGAAATCGATTTTCATTTTTAAATGACACATATGAGGACTTCCACTTCTGAACAAGATGGAGTAACCAGGAACTGGATTTGCTGTCCTTCCTGAAACGACCAAAATGCCAGACAGAATGTGTGAAACGACGGTGCTCAAGACTTGACATCCGGCAAAGAGGGAGGAGGGAGAGTGATCCCTGAGAATTGGAAAACACCTAGGTGACCCCTGAAATTGCCACAGCCTATGAGTTTCTGACCACAGGGCAGGGCACCTCCCTAAGGCCCCACCTGAAAGTGCTCTAAAAAATGAAGTCTACTTTTTAAAAACGCTCAAGCCAAAAGAAGGCAGAAAAAGAGGAAAAGGGGAACAAAGAAAGATGGGACAAACGGAAACCAAATAGCAAGACGATAGATTTAAACGTAACCTTACCAGTGATCACATTACAATAGTTATAAACACCTCTTTTAAAAGGCAGAGATTGTATGCTTGGGTAAAAAACAAAGATCAAACTATACGTTATGTAAAATAAACACACCTTAAATATAAAAGCTAAAAGTAAAGGGATGCTAAACGCAATGGGGTACCCTGGATTGGGCTCTGGCACATGAAGGAGAAAGGCATATAAAGGAGAAAGTGGTGAAATTCAAATAAGGTCTGCAGTTAACAGTAGTGTGCCAGTGTTGGTGTCTTAGTTTTAACAAACATACTACAGCATTGGGGGAAACTGGGTGTAAGGTAGGAAGGACTTTGAATTATCTTTGCAACATTTTTGTAAACCTAAAATTAAAACAAAAAGTTTAATTAAAAAACAAGTAAAAGGATGGAAAAAAAGATCAACTGTGCTAACAGTAACAAAATGACACGCAGTTATCAACAGAAAAGTTTTTAATAACAGAAAATGGGAAGGAAATCGCTGCATCTTAAATACCACCTGCTATAACTACAGTGACCGGCGCGTGAACTGGACTGGATAATTTTCTTTAATCAGCCCTGGGTGGAAACAGCTGGCATACTCAAAAGATTAGTTGCAAGGAGTTCAAAGAAGGGCCTTTTTAACTTGGGATGGTCCCAATTCCTCAGCCGGACATCGATGGCCTTTCAGGATCTGCTACCTGCCCACCTCCACAGATCTATCTCTTGACGCCAGGGCCCCGCACACTTCTGTTCTGCCACAGCCACCTGACCCCCGCCGTCTCCCACGGTACGCTCGTTTCCCGCCTCTGTGTGTTAGCACACGCCATTCCCTCTGCCAGGTACGCCATTCCAGTTTTAGTTACTAGGGAAGCTCCCCTTTCCGGCTGGAGGCTGTTCTCACGTTCTCTTGCCTTCTTTGGGTCCATCATTCTCTTCCCTCGTCTTCCACATCACTACACGATGGGTAGTCTTAGAACTCTCATCACACCAATTTGTGTCTAGGAATAGTAATGGCTACCACCAACTAAACCAAAACAAGGATGCGTGGAAGGGCGCGGAACCTGCGAACTATGCCGCGCATGTCCCCTCGCGGCCACCGTCCCCACCCCGGCTTCCGGCTTACATTAAGAACGCCCACCGCGTGGTTGCGTAGACGGAAGGGGGGGGCTCAAATCACGCTCGTGGCGTCTATTGGCTGCCTGGGGACGAGGGAGGCGGGGCGAGGCCTTCGCGTGACGTCAAGACGCCACGATCCGGGCGTCGAAGCCCAAGGAAGACAAGAGCCAGCGGGGTGGGGAGCAGTCCTGCGGCCCTGTTGCTATCATTTGGAGGCGCCGCTGACAAGTCCCAGGGGCATACGGACGAGGTGGGTGTACCGAGCGGCGGCGGGCGGGCGGGCGGGCGGAGGCGGCGTTTCCTTTTGGCCTTACGCCCCGCGGGCCCTGAGGCCTCGGCGGCGGTTGGATCAACAGACGCCGCGCGCGAGCGACGACAGGGTGTGGAGGAGCCCGGGCCACTGGGCCTGCGCACGAGTGGTGGGGAGTGCGGCTGCGCACCCTGGCGCCTGCGCCGTCGGCCTCTGCACCCGCGCGCTCGGAATTCTTGGGCCCAGAGCACCCCTTTTCTTCAACCCCAATTGACCCGGCAGTTCCTTCGGGAGGACCACGTTGACCCTGGCGACGGGCGGCCCTTGCGCTGTCTTGCCCCCACCCGGGGACGTGGTGCGCACGCGCGGCTTGGCCGGGGCGGTGGCTCCGGGGCCAGTGGCGAGGATCCAGGCGAGCTCTTCCTCCACCCTAGCCCTCTTGTGCCTTCCCCGGGCCTGCGGGACGGCCAGGTGCCCCCTTGCCTCCGGTTCTCGCCCCAGCCCAGAAACCTCCTCCCTCCAGGCTCCCCCAGACCTTACCCCCACTTTTCTTCCTGTCCCGGGGCTCCACCCACTATCCCCACTCGTGATTCCCCCCACCTCCCTGCCCCCAACCCTTCCGCTCAATTCCGTTCGGTTTCTTCTTTATGGCTTGTCTTCTCTAGGCTTTTTTCCAGTTGCAGACTCCTTACATCTCCACTTCTTGTAGGATTTTCGGGTTCTCCAGCGGGACTCGCCTTTGAGCACCCCCATACTTCTCAGTTCCTCCCTCAAGTCTAGGCCCCCCAGTTCTTGCCCCCAGGACATTCCTTCATGTTCTTGCTGTCCTGTTCTCTCCATCCCACTCCAAGTCCTTAAAGATGTTTTGGACCTCTTTGGGCGTCCCCAAAGCTTTCTCACCAGACCCCCAACCAAGGGGCTCGCCTCTTCTCTTTTCCCAGGTCTACTCCTGCTTCTAAGGAACCTCCCATGTACGTTTTTCTCTATCCTTAGGGGGCCTTCCTGAAATTAGTCTTTTAAGAGCTTTTTAAGAACTCATTTCTTCACTCCCGGGGTTCCTCTCTGGCACCCTCAACTTCTTCCTGCTCCAGGAGTAACTTCCAGAAATCGGCTTTTTCTCCCAGACTTCTCCATTCTCCAGTGTTCTCTTTTCTCAAGGCTTCCTCAAATGCTTCCCTCTTTACAGACTTTCTCTCAGGGGTCTTTCCAGGTCTTCCAGCCTGGAGGTTCACTTAGCCCTTGTTTATTAGAGCTTCTTCTCAGAAGCCATCTTCCTCCTTGCTCCTTGCCTGAGGTTCCCCACCCTGCCCTCTGACCCTGTCCCTGTTTCGGGGTTTCCCTCGAACCCTTTCCTTTCTTCATATGGGTTTCTGATCCTTCTCTTTCTCTTTGGGAAACTCATTTGGACTTCCCTGTTTTCCAGTCCTTTGTTTTCCACCTAGAGCACTGCAGAGGGGCCAGGGTCTTTCCCTCAGGCTGTAGCCCTTTAATTCCACACCCAGAATTCTCTTCAGATTGTTCACCCCTTGGCTCCTTCTTTCTCAGACTCCCTTTTCTGTCTGGCTTCTCGTGAGCCCATTTGCTTCTCTTCCCTATTTGTTGACATGTTTCTTGCTCCCTCTGGAGTCTCCCTAATTCGTTCTTTTTCTTGCAGACAGTGAAAAAGCAGTCTGGCTCCCGAGGTCCACCCCGTACACCCCAGGGTCCAGATGGCGGCCAACGTGGGTGATCAGCGTAGCACGGATTGGTTAGTGAGGCTAGAAGGACGGGTCGGAGGGGAGGGCAAGAGGAAGCAAGACCCAGTGTTGTCTTCCGGATGGGCCGTCACACAGCATGGGGGGACATGACACCACAGCCCCTGGGGTAGGGATGGGGCCGAGGCAGTCCTTTGAGCGTTCCCCTTTCACAGTGCAGTGCTTGTTTCACAGAAGTGTGATGATTCACTCCGTGGACTGTGATTAAGAGGCAGCCTCCAACACTTAATACTCATTTATTTTTTTAATTCCTCGTTTTTTCCAAAACAGTGTGATGACTTTCTGACTGAGGTGCTATCAGACAGAATTTGTGGTTTCGTAAAGCATTTAGATCTGTCAGGCATCAGGTCTTGTTTTAAGTCTTGTGGTTACTGGTAATTCTTTGGTTTGAGTTTTAACGTCTGTATGTAGCAGGCATCTGCAAAAGTACCTTAGGTAGGTAATCGCATCTGTCGCTCACTGAAGACTGTGACGCAGAAACCGGCTGTCAGTGTGTCACAGATTAGGAAATTGAGGCTCTGGGATTCAAGCCCTGGGGTTTGCCTGCTTCCGTCCTGCCCACCGTCTGCAGTGGGAGAATGGGCTGACTTGATGTTCCCTTTCTGCAGGTCCTCTCAGTACAGCATGGTGGCCGGGGCAGGCAGAGAGAGTGGCATGGAGACCCCCATGCACGAGAACCCCGAGTGGGAGAAGGCCCGCCAGGCCCTGGCCAGCATCAGCAAAGCGGGAGCTGCCGGCAGCTCTGCCAAGGCCAGCAGCAGCGGGCCCGTGGCCAGTGCACAGGTGAGCAGCGTCCCCTGCGCGGGCGTGGGGCACACGCACACACTTGGTGTCCTCTCGCATCACCAGGGCAGGGTGCTCTGAGGACATCCTGGGAGCCCTTGAGTAGTGAGTAGGGCACCATGTGGTCGTTGTCCCTGGGAATCGAGCCTGAGGAGGGGGCGGTGCTCGTGTCCGGTGGTAGAGGTGGTGGCTCTCTGTGGAGAGAGGTGTTCCCAGTTCTGTCCCTTGGCAGTTAACCACCAGTAAACAGACCTGCCCTGGTGGGGCCCTGATGGCACGTGGTTCTCTCCCCCCACAGTATGTGTCACAGGCAGAAGCCTCGGCTCTGCAGCAGCAGCAGTACTACCAGTGGTACCAGCAGTACAACTATGCCTATCCGTACAGCTACTATTACCCTGTGGTGAGTGCCCACCCAGCCCGGCAGGGGCAGGCGGTGGAGGGGCGGAGGTGGGATCAGTCGGGCAGGGTCCGGGGCAGTGGGTGGATTGACCACAGCAGTGACAGCTGCTGGAAAACCCTCCCTGAGCTCATGGTCCACAAGGTAAATGCCCAGGTCCTTCGGTGGCCACCTACGCTGCCCTCCCTGTGCCCACGTTGCCACAGAGACTCCTCCCCTTCAGCACACACTGAGTCCACTCCCGCCTCAGCCCTTTCCTCGCGTGCCGACACTCGCTGTGCCCTCGCCTAGCAGAGGGCTGCCCGAGAGCGCCTTCGGAGTGCGCTTCCTGGGACAGGCTGTACTCAGAGTGGCATTCCCACTGCTCACCCTGCCACTCGGCTTCTCTGCTTGGCTTTTTTTTTTGTTTACTGCTGGCTGTGTTGGGTGTCTACTGTGGCATGTGTTTTGAGTGCAAAGTTCATTCTGTCTTTACTTTTCATTGTATTATAGTGTTTAGATGGGTTGGTACTCAGTAAATAGTTGTTGAAGAGTGGAATGTGGGACACATGGAGGTGGTCATTTTATTTGGTAATTTTTCAGCATGAGGGAGTTGGGCGCTTCTATGTGGTGGAGAGAGGGAGGGTGAGAGATCAGTAAAGGATTGCAAACTGAGCAGCTGGGAGAGAGGGGCGGGTCTAGGCCTCTAGGGAAGGAATCGGCCCACCGCTAATCCTTCCCTCCTGTGCCCTCGCCAGAGCATGTACCAGAGCTATGGCTCCCCCTCCCAGTACGGGATGGCCAGCTCCTACGGCTCAGCTGCACCGCAGCAGCCGTCCGCAGCGCAGCACCAAGGGACTCTGAACCAGGTAACGCCCTACCCTGCCCCGGCTCAGTCCACGCACGGGGTGTGGCGGGCCAGCAGCGGGGACACCTGCGTTATTTAAGCTGCTCCTGCCCAGCAGTTCCTGATCTGAGAACGAGGAAGGCTAAGCTTAGTTTTTGAAACCAGGGTGGGTGTAGGGCTTGAGTACGGCCAGGGGGCTGAGGTGTTGGGGTGACGGTGGGAGCACTTTGTGGCGTGGCAGCCTTCTCCTGTGCTTTCCCCTCAGCACATGCCCACATGCATACAGTCTCTCTCTCTCACGCACGCACACACGCTCTAGCCTTGCACTTCACGTGCAGCTGGGAGGCGTGGTGGAGCTCGTGCCGGGGAGGTGGGCAGACCTGGGTGTGAATCCCAGCGCCCCGGTGGCCAAACTACAAGTCACGCGCTCTCTGCGCCTCAGGCGGTGCCGTCAGGCGGTGGCGGGGGGAGGGAAGGATCGCGGCTTTATCACCGGCTCCCGCAAGCGTGTGCCACACGTGTCTTGACGGGCACGTGACGTGCTCGGACAGTGACCGCCGGGGCGGGGGTGCCGTCGGGGGCGGACGCCGGTGTTTTAAATGCCAGCCGCCACCGCCGCTCAGCAGTGGGTGCCGTGGGAGAGTAGGCGGTGCCTGAGCTGCTGGGCCGTGGGAGGTCGCCGAAGCCCCCGCCTCGAGAGGCGCTCTGCGGGTGCAGGTGGCGAGGCGGGGGAGCGTCCGGCCGCGGAGTTGAGAGCTGAGGTGGCCGAGGACCCCGCGCAAGGGCCAGCCCGGGGTGCCCGCTCCTGCCTCAGCGGCCGCTCTGCCCACAGCCCCCGGTCCCGGGTATGGACGAAGGCCTGTCCTACCAGGCGCCCCCTCAGCAGCTGCCAGCGGCCCAGCCCCCTCAGCCCTCCAACCCCCCGCGTGGGGCTCACCCTTTGAGCAGCGGTCCGCAGCCAGGGACGGCCCCTGCCACGCAGCACAGCCAGGCAGGATCTGCCTCGGGCCAGGCCTACGGGCAGCATGGCTACAGCGAGCCCGCCAAGCCCAAGAAGGGCCAGCAGCTGTGGAACCGCATGAAGCGTGAGTGGCCTTGGGCCGTGGAGGGGAGGGGGCCTCACAGGACTCCTGGCGCGAGGCACGTGGGGTGCTTGGACCTTGCTTCGCTCTTGGGACCTCCCGGGGCGGTGCGTGGGGCCACTCGGAATGGGCGCCCTTCTCTGGAGCTCAGGGCTCCTGCCCCGGGGGTGGGGGCGGGGCCGCCCACGTGGGCGGGGGAGGCCTCACCTCAGCTTTCGCTGCCCTCACAGCGGCCCCTGGGACTGGTGGGCTCAAGTTCAACATTCAGAAACGGCCTTTCGCTGTCACAAGCCAGAGCTTTGGCTCCACCACGGAGGGCCAGCACGGCAGCTTCGGTCCCCAGCCCAACCCCGAGAAGGCCCAGAACCACAGGTGACGGCCGCCCCCTTGCCCGGCCCCAGCCCTTGGGCACCGTGCTCAGCATCTGTGTGCGGCCCACTGGCACGGCCTGCTCCTTAGAAAGCAGAGAGCCCCCCTGCCCCACGGGCTCGCCCTGGGTGCCTGCCCGGGAGGGGCGGTGATGACGGTCCCACCTGGGTCGTGGGGTACCACTCCCCAACCGAGTGTCTGCACCTGTCCTCCCTCCGCCAGGGGGAACCTGTCCGGTAAGCCCGACGACTGGCCGCAGGACATGAAGGAGTACGTGGAGCGCTGCTTCACTGCCTGCGAGTCGGAGGAGGACAAGGACCGGACGGAGAAGCTGCTCAAGGAGGTGCTGCAGGCAAGGCTCCAGGACGGCTCGGCCTACACCATCGACTGGAGCCGGGAGCCCCTGCCGGGGTGCGTGGGGCCGGGGGCACTCGGGAGGCGTCTGGTGCTGCAGTTGGAGACCTGCCATCCTAGGTGTCCAGGGCCCTGAAGGAGCGAGAGAATGGGGTCCTGGGGGCGGGAGGCTGCCGGGGTGGGAGTCCCGGGGGTGAGAGCGTGGAGGCGGGAGATGTGCTACTCAGCGGCTGCCAGCAGCCTCTAGACACACAAAACCTTGGGATTGTCTCCCACCTGAGCGTCGTGTTAGTCGAGTTGCCTGGGTAAGTGCCCTTCCTTCTGAGCTCGTGTGTCCAGGGGCGGGTGGCAGGCGTTGGGGATGTCGGGGCGCCGGGTGGTGATGCCCTCCCCTGCTATATCCCCAGGCTGACTCGGGAGCCTGTGGCTGAGAGCCCCAAGAAGAAGCGGTGGGAGGCCCCTAGCAGCCTCCACCCTCCCCGGGGGGCAGGCTCAGCGACCAGGGGCGGGGGTGCCCAGTCCCAGCGAGGGACGCCCGGGGCTGGGGGTGCTGGCCGAGCCCGGGGCAGCAGCTTCGCCAAGTTCGGCAACCGCAATGTCTTCATGAAGGACCACAGCTCCTCCTCCAGCACCGACTCGCGCTCCCGCTCCTCCTCCCGCTCCCCGACCCGCCATTTCCGCCGCAGGTGTGAGGCCGCTGGGTGGCGGGGCCGGGGGCGGGGGGAGGAGACGTTTCAGGCCTCACCTTTGTGCTCCTCTGCACAGTGACTCGCACTCGGATTCCGACAGCTCCTACTCAGGGAATGAGTGTCACCCTGTGGGTCGCAGGAACCCACCCCCCAAGGGCCGGGGAGGCCGGGGGGCCCACATGGACCGGGGCCGAGGCAGGGCGCAGCGTGGGAAGAGGTGAGGCTTTGGGGGGCCGGGGAGGAGGGGCCGCTGGGAGGGGGAGGGCTGTGTCTGGGCAGCGGTGGAGAGGCAGGGGGTGGTGCCACGCCCGCCCCTTCAGGGCCCCTCCTCCCTCCCTCCCCACCTCCCCAGGCACGACCTAGCCCCCAAGCGCAGCCGCAAGAAGATGGCGGCCCTGGAGTGTGAGGACCCCGAGCGCGAGCTGAAGAAGCAGAAGCGGGCGGCGCGCTTCCAGCACGGACATTCCCGCCGCCTGCGCCTGGAGCCCCTGGTGCTGCAGATGAGCAGCCTGGAGAGCGGCGGGGCCGACCCCGACTGGCACGAGCTGCAGATCGTGGGCACCTGCCCTGACGTCACCAAGCACTACTTGCGTCTCACCTGCGCCCCCGACCCATCCACCGTGCGCCCCGTGGCGGTAAGCGCCCCCTGGCAGCGAGGGCAGGTCCTCCCTGTGAGGCCAGCGCTGGCACCAGGCCTCCGGGGCCAACGCTGTGAGGATGGCAGAGGCAACATGGGAGGAGGTGGCGGGGCGGGCAGGGGTCTGGCTCGGGGAAGACCCGGACCTGCCTGTGCACAGGGGGCCTGAGGCACCGAGAGGTGAACTGGACCCAGAGCTTGTGCTTTCGGAGCCAAGTCCAGAGCCTGTGGCCTTGTCGGAAGGCTGGGCTGGCCTCTGAGCCTTCGCCTCGTGCTTAGGAGACCAGGAGAAGGAAGCCGATGTCCCCGGCCAGTGCCTGTGAGACACTGGGACATCCACGTCCCGAGGCCCGAGCTGGGAGCGGGGCTGACGTGTGCTCCCGGGGCGCGTGCGTGGCCTGTGCTGACGCGGGAGACCGTGTGCACGCTTTTACTCTTGGGTTCTATTCCCTTTAATGTCGGGATCAAGCCCCTGGGTGGGTTGAATGTTGCGGCCTCCGCTCAGGACCCCGAGTTTGTGGAACCGTGGCAGGTTTTAGCACATCCTGAACCACGATTCACCTCCTTCCCAGGTTTTGAAGAAGTCGCTGTGCATGGTCAAGGCCCACTGGAAGGAGAAGCAGGACTACGCCTTCGCCTGCGAGCAGATGAAGTCCATCCGGCAGGACCTGACGGTGAGGCGGGGGCCGGGGAGGGGGCCACACTGCTGGTCCCGCCCTGCTCCGGTGTGACATCTGCTCTCCCGCTGCCCAGGTGCAAGGTGTGCGCACCGAGTTCACGGTGGAGGTGTACGAGACCCACGCCCGCATCGCCTTGGAGAAGGTGAGGGGCTGACAGGATTCCCTCGGCTCCCCCCACCCCCGTCCCGGCCTCACTCTGCTCCTCCCTCCATGCCCTCCAGGGTGACCACGAAGAGTTCAACCAGTGCCAGACGCAGCTCAAGTCACTGTATGCTGAGAACCTGCCAGGCAACGTGGGCGAGTTCACTGCCTACCGGATCCTCTACTACATCTTCACCAAGAACTCAGGAGGTGAGGCGCAGCCCCGCAGAGCAGGGCGGCCGCGGGCCCCCAGGTCCTGGCCCTGCTCACCTCCTCGTCTCCGGCCGCAGACATCACCACGGAGCTGGCGTACCTGACGAGGGAGCTGAAGGCGGACCCTTGTGTGGCCCACGCCTTGGCGCTCAGGGCAGCCTGGGCCCTGGGCAACTACCACCGCTTCTTTCGGCTCTACTCGCACGCGCCCTGTATGTCTGGCTACCTCGTGGACAAGTTTGCAGACCGGGAGCGCAAGGCCGCCCTCAAGGCAATGATCAAAACGTATGTGAAGCTGAGCTCTGCCCCTGGTCCTCTGCTCTGCGGCCTCAGCGCCGCCCTCCTCCCGCCGTCCGCACCTCTGACTCCCCTGGTCTCCCTCCCTCGGGTCCTGGTCTTCTCTCCCCTTCTCTCCACACTCGGCCCTCCCCTCTGGTCCCTCCACCTTCCAGCGCACGCACTGTGGGCCCTCCTCTGTGGTCCTGTTTCTCAGTGCTCCGGGCTCCCCTGCCCCTTTGCCTCTATTTACCTTCTGCTCGCATCACCCTGGACCCCACTTGGTCTTCTCCTTGCTCCGGGCTCCCCTTCCTTCAAGGCCTCTGCCCACCTTCTTCAGCGCTCCTGTGGCTGAGCTCCTGCTCTGTGGGGACGCCCAGCGAAGGCGGCCCTGCCCTTGGTAGCCGCGGTCTCAGGGACAAGGCCCCGCTCCCACTCGAGCTGTTTTGAGAGCCCAGGCATGCTCAGGGACCAGGTGTGAGGCAGGGCAAGCTAGGCCGGGACCCCAAAGAGCGCGGCCTGTGCTCACGTGCTCAGTCAGGCGGGAGACGCCCCCCGGCGACGGCAGGACACCTCTTGCGTTGTCACAACCGGGGTCCTCCTGGCCTCTGCTGGTGGAGGCCAGGGGTGCTGCTCAGTGCCCTGCAGTGCACAGGGCACCCCCAGCTGGGTCACCTGGCCGCAGTCAGTCTCGCTGAGGCTGGGAAGCCCTGGTCAGAGGACGTGGGGCCTTGAGTGCCACGTCAGTGTGTTGGGAGCCGTGGGGGTGGTTTGCAGCTGGGGAGGGACACTTACCCTGCAGGTTAGGAGACTCCTAGGATCCAGTTTGGGTCAAGCCGATATGAGGGCAAGGTGCGGGCCGGGGCAGGGGCCGTGGGGCAGACACACAGGAGGCAGGGCCGCGGGACCCGCTCTCTAAGCCAGGAGGGGTGAGGAGGCCGTGTACCTGAAGGACCCTGGGCTCCCCGGTGTGTTCTCCGCGGCCGCACAGGCTCTTCCTCCTGCAGTTTTCGGGCTTCTGCGCCGCCCCCAGGCTGTAGCCGGGCAGGCCACTGTCTCCTCCTCAGCACTTCCTGTTTCTGCCTCAGCCTGTGTGTGTGCTTGGCCAGTGGGAGGGCTCTGGCCTGTCGTTGGCCTCACGGTCTTGTGTCCCCCTGCTCTGGAGGGTGGTGCGGCTTCTCTCTGGCTCGCTGGGCCGGGGCCAGCCCCGTGTTGGGGGGCAGCAGGCTGTCCTGTGCCCCGCCCCCCATGGACTTCCAGGGCTGTGAGGAAGTGGGGGCTTCAGGCAGGACTGGTTTGAGCGTTTTCTGCCACTTACTTACATCCTAGGTGACAGTGGCCAAGTGGCTCTGCCGCTGCGCTGTCCTCGGTGTGTCTGTAAAGGGTAGGGTGACAGCTGCTGGGAGGGAGCTCAGCGGGCTCACGGGGCGGTACTTAGAAGAGCACAGGCCAAGCCTCCTCTTAGCACTCCCACCCAGCTCAGGGCAAGCGGGAGGGGCGGGGCTCCCTGCACCTGGCCCCTGCCCCGGCCCCGTGGGCCCTCTCCTGAGGGGCTGCTCAGGCCCCGGCCAGCAGAGGAGCCAGCTGGGCCCTTCCCTCCTGTCCCCTCTCCTCCCGTCCCCCGCACAGGTAAGTGAGGGGGAGGGGGGGCACAGCAAGGGGTTGGGGCCCCCCCCACCCCGGGCCCCCCCGAGCCCCTGAGGGGGGAGGCCGGGGCTGGGGAGGGGCCAGCAGGTGACATGCTGAGGAAACCTTCGGGTGCCCGAAGGGGGGCACCCACTCCTTGCTCGTGGGGCCCTCCCATGCCCGCCGCCCGCCTCATCGCGTTCTCCTCTTGTCTCCGTAGCTTCCGCCCTGCGCTGCCAGTCTCCTACCTGCAGGCCGAGCTGGCCTTCGAGGGTGAGGCCGCCTGCCGGGCCTTCCTGGAGCCCCTGGGCCTGGCCTACATGGGCCCGGACAACTCCAGCGTCGACTGCCGCCTCAGCCTGGCGCAGCTGCCGGCCTTCTGAGCACCAGCGCCGCCGGGGGTGGGGGGCAGGGCTGCAGCCCCCCAGCGCCGCCTCGGCGGGTTTTGTTTTTGAGCCGTGGACTTGGGTTGTAAATTAATTTGCGGGGAGTGGGCTCCAGGAAGAGCCACCAGCCCGGCCCCCATTGCCCACCGGGGAGTCTGTACAGAGATTTTTCTACATTTTTATTTTTGCCTCTGAGGGATGGGATTGGGGGAGGGGGGACAGCGGAGGGTTGGGGGCATAGTGTGTGGGGTCGTCTGTGTCCACCTTGCACCTCCACTAATGCTGTCTCAGTGTTTTTTCTCTCTCTCTCTCGAGCTTGTACTCCGGTAGCGACCCGGCACCCTGGCCCATCCCATGCCAGGGGGGCCAGTGGAAGAAGACAGGCCGCTCCGCCCGTGCCCGCCTGCGGCAGGGGCACCAGCACACCAGCCCGCTGCCCGCCGCCTCATCTGCCTCACCACAGACTCTTGTTGCCCAGCCCTCCGGGGCCTCAGTGTTTGGGGCGAGGGGAGCCGCGTAGACTGTGCCCTGCCCGCAGCCCCCGACCCCAGAAACGCCAACGCCTCGCCACCGCCAGATCCACACTGCCAGCCTGCACTGAGGACTCCGGAGGCCATCGCGGGACCTCGACGGCCGGGCTGCCTCGTCTGCAGTTGTATTAAGTTGTCTCCGTGTCCCTTCCCCTCTCCACCCCAATGTTTCTTCTGGTTTTTCCCCCTTTTCCCTCCCGCCGCCTCCTGCTCCCGCTCTCCCTTGGTTCAGCACAGGTAAAACGGTTACCCTCCCTCCCCGCCTCATGGATCACCAGCTCACGTCATGTTTCCTTCTCTTTTCTTTTTGTGTGTGTTTAAGTTATTTTTTCTTCCTCCCCTTTTCTTTTCCGTCCTCCCTCCCTCTTCTGCCATGTAACTGGAGGATGTGCAATGAGTTTGCAAACAGCTGGACTGTCAGGCTGCTTTTTTTCCAGATGTTCCTCCTTTGCCTCCCCTCCCCCTCCTCTCCCCCTCCCCTTTCCTTCCTTCATTCTTTCCTTGGAGCACTGAGCACCATTTGGAAGCTTGAGAGAAACCAAAATTAAAGAGAGAGAGAGAGAACACGCGTGCACGCTTTGTCTTTCTGCCCCAGGCTAGATTGCCTCTGGGTGTCTGGGTCCTGGCCTTTATTTCTTTTGGCATTGAGATACCAGGGGGATCTCCGCCACGGCCTGGTAGGTGCCCCCTGACCTCCCCACGCGGCACAGCCAGAGTTTCCCCAGAGGCTGGCTCCCCAGCTCCTGCCTTGGGCTGAACCCAGGCTTGGGGAGGCCGACTTGGGAACCCTGGGGCACCTTGGCCAGGGTGAGGTGGGGGTGTAGCCCCCTGCAGGGCTGCAGCACTCTCAGCCCCTCGGCCTCCAGCCTCTGGCTGAGCACTTGGGCCATGTTCTCCAAAGGAGGGTCGGGGGGAGCACAGAGCACACGAGAGCCCAGGAACACCAGGCGCCTGAACCTGAGCCTCTGAGGGATCTGAAGCCCGGGGTCCGAGAGCACGCCTCTGAGTGCGTCGACCGCAGCCGCCACCTCCCCGGGGCCCGCCAGCCTCAGCAGGGCCACTGTCAGGTGCAGGGCCTGAGCAGGCACTGTGAACGCCGCGCAAGCTGGTGCATTTCGTACCAGTTCTTCTTGGACCTTAGCCACCCCGGCCTGCAGCTCAGCCTCTGTCACCATGAGGGCCACGAAGTGCGTGGGGCGGGGCCGGCGAGGGCCCACGGCCCCGGCTGCTCCACCGTCCACGGGCCAGACCCCGGGACCCCACTCCACTTCCGTCTCAGAGAGGCCTTCCGAGGGCCTTCCCGGGGCTACCACAGCCGGCAGCTTCCCACCCGGGAGCTCCAGGTCCCTGGCAGCGGCGGCGGCTGGCTTCAGCGCCCTTCTTGGCTGCATCCACGGGGAACCTTGGCCTCCAGGGCCGCCCAACTCCCGCTCCTGGATCCTCGATAACGTCCCTGCCAACGCCAGGCGCCCAGCTTCGGGGCCTCCGCCATCCGGGGCCAAGGCGGCCCGGAGTCCCGTCCAAGCTGGCTGTACGCGCCCTCCCGCACCGGTGCCAAGACGGGTCGCAGCTACACCGTCCTGTGCGCCTCCGGCCCCGGCCGTGTCCCCACCGCTGAGCGCACCTCCGGCCCCGTACGCGTCCTCGCCGTCACTCTCGTCCCCGGTCCCGGTCCCATGCACGTCCCCGCCCCTGTCTCCGCCGTCGTGCGCGCCCCCGGTCCCGTGCGCGTCCACGCCGTTGCTCTCACCTCCGGCTCCGTGCACGTGCTCGCCGTCGCTCGCATGCCCGGTCTGGTGCGCGTCCTCGCCGTCGCCCTCCTCTCCGACACCGTGCGCATCCCCACCGTCGAGCGCGTCCAGGATGGTGGACCCGCGGCCCGCAGCCAAGCCCGAGCCGAAGACGAGGTCCGTACGCGAGGCGCGGTCCCACACCAGACGGCCGCGGAAGCGGAAGTAGCGCACCCGGTGCTGCGGCACGGCCAGAACGCCCGGCCCGAGCGCCGCCAGAGGCTCGTCCCAGCAGAAGGAAAGGAAGGGCTTCTCGCGCACACCCAGGAAGCGGTCGACGTAGCCCACGGAAAAGTCGGCCGGGTCGAGGCGCGGGTCCCAGCGGATGCGCTGGATGACAGCCGCAGCCGTGCGCAGCGGCGGCTTCTTGGCTTTGGCCTCTGCTTCGGGCTCGCCTCTAGGCTGCGGCGGCGCCGGCGCCCCGGGGTGGGGCTGGCGGCAGCGGGCACCGAAGCGGCAGCGGCCCTCCAGGAAGAAGCGGCAGGCCGGCGGCGGCGCGGGTTCCGCGCTGGGGGCCCCCACGGGCGGCTCCGGCCCTTCGGCCGCCGCCATGGGAGTGGGGTGCGGCTGGCGCGCTCGCCCCGCTCAGGCCGCTCCGCACCTGGGTCAGTCCTGCCGGCACGGGCGCCAGGCACCGCTGTGACGTCACGGGCGAGGCTCAGGCCCCGCCCCGACCTGGAAAGCACCTCGCGCGTGACACGGCCCTCCGCGGTGCCCTGGAGGCGCCTGACCCTTGCAGCCAAGCGGTTTTTATCTGTGGCCCCGGCCCCAACCCAATAATTTACATATGCGGCCCCGCCCCCACAACCCAAATACCTTACAGGTGCGGCCCCGCCTCTTCTGGCCCCTTAGTGAGCTTGGCTCCGCTACCTAATGATTTACAAGTGCGGCCCCGCCACTCTTGCTCCTTAGAGAAGCTGGCCCCGTCCCTAGTCCAGTGCTTTAACGATGCGGCCCCGCGCTCTCTTGGCCCCTGACGAGCTGGGCTCGCACACCCCGCACGCCTAATGATTTGCATGTGCTATCACGCCCCTCCGGGCATTCGTTGGGCCTCGCCCTCCGCGGGACAACCGGACGCCTGTAGGCTCAGAACGAACTTCGTAGCCCGGATTTGGGACGCAACTGTCGCCCTCAGGATGACACAACTTTGGGGCGTCCCTTTTCTACGGGGACCACGCCTCTTCCCGGCCACTTTTCCTGTGCGGCCGCTCCCGGGGTAAAGGACAGCTCGCCTGGGCTGGGTCCACTGGAGACGCGGAGCTCACGGGGTCACAGCCGTCGGCCGGCCCGAGGGAGCGAGTCAGGCAGGGCCCGGGACCGCGTCCGGCAGGCGGCGGCGGCGGCGACGCGCAGCCAACACTGCTGAAAAAACCAGGCTGTGGGAGCGGCCACTTCGGAACCCCGCCCCTGGGAGGGGCACCGCCCAGCCACGCCCCTGGCTCTCTTAAAGGGGCCGCATCCCATTACACCAGGTTAATCCTGAGACCTCCACCCACCTGGCTGGGACCGGAACCCCACGTGACACACCTAGCTCTTAAAGGCGCCAGGACCTCATCACCCCTCCCCGTCCCCCCTTCCCACATGCAAAGTAAACAGACAAAACCCGGGGCACAGACCTTGTCGGTTTATGTATAAAGAAGTGGGGAGCTGGACGGTAAGGGCGCAGGGAATGGGGGTGCCTACAGGCCGATGACGTCGTCCAGCTCGAGGTGCGCGTTGGGGAGGCAACGGGCCCTAGGGTGCTGCGCCCCGGGGCCGGGGTCCACGTCGGGCTTGGCGGCAGCGGCGCCCGGGCGTTCCGCGTCCATGACGCCCAGCACTGCGTCCAGCATGGAGGGGCCCAAATCCAGGTGGAAGGACAGCAGCGGGTCGGCGGGCGCTGGCGCGCGGAGGGCGGGCGGCGGGGGCTGCGGCACGGCGGGCGGCGGCGCGGAGCGCGGGGCTCCCGCGGGCGGCGGCCGGGGCTCAGGGGGTGGCCCGCCGCCGTGGCGGCTCAGGAACGAAGTGTCTCCGAAGGCGTCGCCGCCGCGCCCCACGTGCAGAGTGTGCCGGAAGTCGCCGAGCGGCGCGGAGATGGACAGAGCGCCGCGCTCCGGCCGTTTCTTGGGCTGCGCGGGGCCCAGCTGCTTCAGGACCGGCATCTGCGGGATAGGGACGGGTTAGCACGGCCTACCCCGGGAGGACGCTACCGAGGCCTTCCGTGTTCCCAGCCCTGGGCGTAGCACGCCGTTCAGAGGATGCTCTCCATAAGTACAGGATGATGGTGGTGGGATCACTCCCATTTTACAAGTGGGGAAACTGAGGCTCCCAGAGGTCCGAGGTTACAGCTGCTTGATTCAAATCTCAGACTCAAATTTAGGTCTGCCCATATGTTAATTCCACTAAGAACTAACGTTTGAGCTTTTATAGGTCAGAGAACAAGCAACATGCTTCACCAAGCCTTTTGGACTGCTTCCCAAACTTGACAGAAACTCCAGCTTAAACACAGGGCCATCCACCATGAAGACAGGGCGGACTCTGTCCTTTGGGTGCAACAGACACAGTGCCCAGGGCCCGCCACATTTCTAGAGGCCCGCACACATGTTTAAACGTTTTGTTATTATTTTTTTGAACCTCTTGTCCTTTATTGAGGCCACTGGTCCCCAGCTCCCGCAGGGCAGGGACACGGGCCCAGGTCTTCCTCTCCAGCCCCGCCACCTTTGGGGCCTGCAGAGCCCACAAAACCCCGGGGAGCATAGATGAGACCCTCTCCCTCAACACATGGTGTACAGAAGCCCCTTCCCAGACGGGGCTGCCGTGTTTTATTTTAAAACGTCTGGATTATGTTTGCCTTTATACCAACGCAGTCGTAAAATATAACTATTATATATATATATATAATTATCTCCATGAAAGCTTTGCCTAGAACATACAAAAGTCATCATGTAGGCTGGCCTGTGGATTGTAATTTGGGAGATTTAGGGTGGGCCTGGGAAATCTATATATTTGCACAGCATTTTATAATTTGAATAATCTGGTTTTGAAAAAAACATATAAGTCTTACTTCTTGGAAAACAAGAGTAACAATAATAATCATGCAAATTTTCCTGTGTTAAAACATGGCAAGAATGGCATAAATTCCAAACGGGCAGCTCATGAACTGTTAACTAGGTACCCTATAGCTACATGACTGCATCAGACTCGATGGTAAATAGATATGCCTGCCAACCTTTGCCCATATCCTGGAACTTGGCCGTTTCTATGGAACTTCTGGGAGGGACTTTGATGACCTTGTACTTTTGTTTTAACAGTCACTGTTATAATAATAACAATTTTAAAAAAAACCTTTCCATTTGAATTGAAGCCCCACCCTTTGCCAACTGGATGAATTGGGATAAATTATGTGATTGCTCTCTGTCTGTTTTCTATCTGGAAAATGGATAAAATGACACTACCTTCCTTGCAGGACGCATAGAAATACTCAGTCAAAGAAAACTATATTTTTAACAGTGCCAGCCAACTGATAGTGTTGGGGAGGGGCATGTGTTCCCAAACAAAACTGTGGAACAAAATTTAGATCAAATCCTACGAAGCAGGCAAAGCAGCCAGCCTTGTCCTTTCAGGGACCAGCACCATGGGAAAGATCAGTGATAACGTGGAGAAAAATTAAAGCCAAAAGGATTTGAAATAATTGTAGATGGATATGTTCTGAGAGCTGCCTTCTCCCCTACCCAAACACACACACACACACACACACACACACGCACACACACTTTACAGTTACTTCTGGAAAAACCAGTCTTGATTTACCACCTCTGTCGTGTTTCTCAAACTTCCCTGACTTCAACCTAGATGAATAAATATATTTTATTGCAATCTGGCACACAGTCACCATTCCTTCCCCACCCACAACCACCCCCCACCCCCACATAAGGGAAACAGACATTTTGTGAATTGAGACCTACTCTTATCTCATGCTAGGCACTCAGTTTCAATTCTATTTTATTATTTATTTAATAACCAAATAAATGCCTGCATGATGCATTTACCCTGCACCATGCAGGATCTTAGTTCCCCGGCCAGGGATCGAACCCACACTCCCCCCCCCCCCCCCCCCCCCCCCCCCCCCCCCCCC